CCCTGGAGAAATGCCAGGATATGAAACATACATTGATGTAGAGGTCAAATATCAAGCAGAAATTYGATTTCTGTAGTATCAGATAACTAATGGTTATGTCGTCATTTTGCCTGATAGACTTTAGGTGCAGTCAAAAGAAGTTATGCCACATCCTACTGATAAAGGGCTGTGTTTTGAATAATAGGACACAGGATTTGTTGCATGTAAAGTAGATGAGAAGCAGTAGACTTAGATAAATTATTTTCATGTTTAAATGTGTTATTACCAGGTGCAATGAGATATATTCATATTTATTTAAAAAAAAAAAAAAAAAGAGTTTGTTTTAAACATGGAAAGATGCACTTGTTAGAACTTGCTAGTGCCTTGATACATTCCATAATTGCAAGCTGTAACTTATAGGTGAAGAACTATRTAATAATACAGTCACTTTGTAACTTCAGATGCTCCTTTTAGTGAACAGGTGTACRTGTAACCTCTCTATATAATGTTTGTTGACTTCTGCATATTCMCTTTTTTGTTCTTACAGCTGGAAGTTGATTGGAATAAAATCAAAGCCAAGATAGAAATGGAAATCGCCAAAGAAAGAGAACGAGCAGCAACAGCAGCCAGTCCAGCAGTAAGAGCTGGTGTAACTGTACAGCAGTAACTGTCATTCTGATCGAATTAACCAAATGTTTTCTGATTATTTTTTATAATCACATATTGATAAATCTAAGTTTTTTTTATATATATACACACACACACACACACACACACACACACACATATATATAGAAATCCATATATATATATATATGGAAAACAGGAGGAAGAAATGGTGTAATTCCTGCTAGTTGTTGGTTGACAGGCAGAATTATTTATTTACTCTGTGCAGTTTTGAGCTGGAGTTAGATTCTGATTCCCTCACTCCAATGAATAGTTACTCTGTGGTCCATTATATATTTTGGAGGAAAAAAAAAAAAAGGGAAATTTACTTTTGTCTTTCTGTTACTTGCTTTTAAATGTTCATTGCCATTAAAATTATTTAATATGGTTGACTCCAGCTAAGTACTGTATTCCCTGTCTAAGCATCTAGGTAAGTAGTTTAGTTATTTCTACAACATCAGTTACTTTTGAAAAGCAAGTGACTTGGTAAATTGCCTTGAAATGAATTTAGAAAACTATAGATAAAAAAAGATCTTGCACTTGTAAAGTGCAAAAGAATGCTAGCACACTTATTTCATGAAAACATGTATCTTAAGAAAACTTGATTTACCATAAAAAAATTAAGTCATCATTTAAAATACTAAGGAATATGCTTTGAATTTTGTTTGTAGTAACAAACAGCATTGCTGGCTGATGTTACAGGATCTAACACATGTAATTGACAGTGAAATTTGTAGCTTTCAAAAGTTGAAGTACCATAATCACTTTTAAAAAGGAAAAGTTTTCCACATGTTGGGGTTTTTTTCTGCCCAAAGCACTTTTTAATAGTTTGTTTTAAAACAGTTTCTAAACATGCATTATTTCATCAATACATACTTTTATCTGTTTTATATATTAAAGTGAGTACATATATTGGACATTCTTTGCAGGAGAATTCTGCAGTATTGCAGAATGGGGAGGGTATGGGGGGGCTGTTTAATTATTAACATTGTAAAATATACATGTTTTAAAGATTACCACTCAATTGTCAATACAATTATCTGTATATATATTTAATTTCTTGTTTAATGTTTTGTAAATCAGTATATGACTCTCTTTGCATAGTTAATCAGTTTTTTAATAAAAATTCAAATAAAGTGATTCATTTTTTTTAGTGTTATTTAATAGACAGTGCATGAGATGATGCTTCTGACTGCTAAATGAAACAACAGGTTTGATATAGTAGCCTGGGCTCATTTGAAGCTCCCCGGGATTCTGGTATGCTGCAYATGCTGCAAAGTCAGCACCTTATCCTCCAGCGACTTGCAGGAGGCACTTATTAGTTCCAGAATAGAGTGCAAAATATCACTAATGGCAGATATTTAATGTTAAGTTTATGAAGCCTGGCACAGATCTGTAATGCAATATTAGCATTTTTTGAAGGCCAAGCTAGAAGTTACACAGATTTCAGGATTTCAGTTCTCGTTTCGGAGAAAGGCTAGTCTTCCCACCCTACGAAACCTTTGCCAAAAAAAAAAAAAAAAAAAGAAAGAAAACACATTTATTTTTTTCTTCATAGCTGTAAAAATCATTAAAAAAGCTCTTCACAAAGCACAAAGTCACTGTCTGTCCAGGATGGGTGCACGGTGGGGATGCCCTGTGCAAGAGCTCCAAGTTGCTGGAGTTGGAAATGCAAAGCTGGAACGTCGCACTCAGTGGTTTTCAAGCACATCTGCAACTGCAAAAAGGCTTGAGAAACAAGAAGGTGACTCTGCATATGTTAAAACCAAACCCCAAGAAAGTCATTACCCACAGCGCAGAAATCTGCATGGCCAGCAAATATTTCCTTTCAGACTATTAAGAAAAGAGAAAGTGAGAGAAACTGAAACCCTCACCCATGACTGCGGATCCTCCCCAGCCTAGCTCAACCTTACGGCTCAACAGCTTGGAGCTACATTGCATTTTACTCAAATAAATAAAATGAGGAAGAACTGCAGCAAAACATTATGGACATGGACTGTGGAGCCAGACTGGATGCATTGCCCGCAGTGGTTGCCATCCCCTATTTTCTTCCATCTGCTAAAATTAAAACATAGAAAAACTTGATTGTGGTAGTTTCCCCCACTTATAATAATTCATTGCAATGCAGATTTGAGTCCTTTGCCTCCCTGGACAGACTCTCACCCAGTAAGTTTATGTTGTGACTTTCAGTGTTAAAATGAGAGTCATCCCCTCGGTCATCRCTGACGTTTGTGTGATAAGGCTGCTCAGGTAAGAGGGCTGTGGCTCTTTCATTTTCCCTGAGTCAAATGATATTACTTTGTATTAATTTGATTTGAGGATTGTAGCCTCGATTCCATGTGGTGCTTGGACACCCAACGAACCCGGCGCCCTGCGGTGACGGATGCGCTAGCATCTAAATAGTATGTATTAAATGTATTAAAATGCAGCAACAGCTACTAGCCGATAAAGACCAATTTGTCACAGCTGGACAGATCCTTGCAGTGGTCTGGAATAATCAAGAAACTATTTTTGTTCCTTTTTGTTTTTACAGGGGGCAACATTTTCCCAAACCGCCGCCGTTAGTCACGCCGTGTCTCGAGGGGCTCCGAGGACGCGGCCCTGCCTTCCCGCGATGATTTCACCCCGCTGCTATTTACAGCTCGGACCCGCAGCCTCTGCCTAGTGCCGGTGCGTAAACTGAGCGRCGGGTCCCTTCCTGCCGCCCCCTCGCCCGGGAACACGCGGCCTCCGCGCGCCCTGCTGCCCCACGGGGGTGTTCGGGGTCCCCCTGGGCCCTTTTCCTGCCGTTTTAACCTTCCACATGTGCTGTTTTAGGTGCCGCCCCAGCCAAGCGCGGCGTCAGCGCTCGGGGGGGGCAGGAAACGAGGGCCGAGGCGGTTCGACCCTGCTATTTTTATTCCATTATTTATCGGCCGTGACGAAGGGCGGCCGCCTCGGGGACCCCGTCGGGTGGCCCACGGGTGTGAAAGGGCGACCACGGGCTCCGGGGGAGGAGGCGCCGGGCTCAGCAGCGGGAAAACATGGGAAAGGCTCCGGAGGGATCGCGGCCCTCGGAGCAGGAGGGTGTCACAGCCGCCCTGGGCGGCACCGCAGCGGGCACCTAGCGCCTGTGTATGTTACCTGGGACAGCTACCGTGTGTGTACATAGCACCCGGCACAGCTACCCTATATGTGTCTCTATATGAACGCAGSTATCCCCACCTCCGTCTATATGCTATATATAGTATATATGTAAATATCTATACTATTAAATATACTACACTCTATATAGAATATATAGTATAGTATCGTGTATATAGTATAGTATTGTATATATAGTATAGTGTATATATAGTGTATATATACTATATTATTATATGTTTATATGTATTCTAGTATATGTGCTGTAGTGTGTATATATATATACACTATAGTATATTAGTATATATACACCATAGCATATTAGTATATATACACCATAGCATATAGAGGCCCTCTAGTTATGCATGTATATACACACACGGTATAGACAGCCGAGACACACGTCTGCGTGCACTCCAGCTGTGTATACGCAGTGCTCCTATAGGGCCTCCGCGCACTGTTCGCCAGGCGCGCTATACATCGCTATAGYGTGTGCGCACCGCGCCGCCGTCCGCGGGGCGCTGCGCGGGAACGGCCGGGCCCGTCACGGCGCGGGGCGGGGCCG